GGGCAAAGTGTGTATGGAACGGATAACAGTACTTGTAAGTCTGTCAGGTGCACTTGGGGCGCTCTCCATACATTCGAGAAGACAGAATATATAGTCAGGGGACTCACAATTACAATTTTACTCCAGCTACCCATTAAAAGCCAGTCTCTTGGAGACCATTCGGGGCGTTTTGTTATATTTTCTCTACGGTGAAATGGAACAGGAATGATGGAATGGGGCACCCTTGACAGAATGCTGCTCGCTAAGACTCTTAATTGACTAGAGGTATGAGAGCACAGTGACTTCATTAAGTTAGCCTGGATTCGGGAGCGTTGCTTTGAGAAGGAAACCGAAGATAAACTCGCAGCTATTTTCGGATTACGGAACATTGCAGTTGTTGGTCGATGAAATGTGCGACGTAACGTAACGTGTGACGCAACGTAAAAATTTGATCAACAAACTCGCGACTATGTAGGACTCCGAGTGGGGGTTCAACTTCGGTGTAGGAGGGCAGTGGCAGAAACCAATAAATTTCGCTTTATGGTGAGCTGCACGACTGAACGGAGGAAATTAAATACAAATACTGAGAAAGTTCTCATAGTGGTTCAAATTTATATATGCAGCGTCGAAACCCGTGATGCTATCATTTTTGTTGTTGTCAGTCGCTCACTGCGTCCGACAACTATTTCGATTATGCGTTTCTCTCTGTTTTGCAGCAAATAGAGCGTTAATTAGATTAAAAAAGGGTTGTATCCAGGTCTCACCCTCTAATCGGGCGTACTGCATATTTGAAAACTCAGAACAATATCCGCGGAAAGGTTTCTGTGTCCAGAACGTTTCGACTAGAAGCGAAACTCTTCAGAAGCTGCTAAATCTTGAATTCATTGGTACTGTGCATTTGCTAATTCCCTTGAATCACTCGGCCACCAACAAGTTGAAAACTCTCATAAACTATCTCTCCCGTTTGGTTTGTCGATAGGTGAACGATTTTCCTGACTCAGTTCGCTGGGTCAATCCTCCAGGCTACATTTGTTCAACCAAAAACAAGGTGTTTGCTCGACACTTGTAAATGATGTGCAAAAAAGAAGTCGAGGAAACTACCGGTCAACTTTTGCGCAGACTGCCGTCACTCGACGGAGATAGCAACCATCAAGCCGACCCGTTGAATAACCTCGAGATGGAGCTTTAAACTATTCTTCTATCTACAGATTCACGTCAAGTTCAATGAGACAGGCCCATCAATTTGCCTGATTTGTGTGCCGATGTGCCTCTTGGCCAAGATTTTTAAGATCACATCAAAAGTTGAACTTTTCTATGAAAGCCACTTTCTTTCTGTGGACTCACGTCTAAAACCGCTACGTCGCCTATGCCCTTCACACATTTATCTAATGGATCTCAAGCCGTAATCATGATATCCAGAAGTAGCTCTGAAGAGTACCGGTTTGCATCGAACGAAATGCAGTGTTTGCTAAAAGAAATCATCGGCTGACCCACGTCTCTTTGGTGACCACAAGTCCTGATAACAACTATTCCCAATCATAAAATGCACATGGTTATTGACTACTACCAACCGTTTTAGGTACCTAGACGCTAATGGATTACTAAGTTCTAAGCAGTTGGGTAGAATTAAAAGATTAGTGAGGGGAGAATGAATGGTGTTTTGAAGAAATTGAAAGGAGAGAGGTTTTAGAACTATTGAATAAAACGTGGTTTGCAATGCTCCAGGAGGAGCTGCGTTCGAGATCGGAGTCCAGCGACGCATTAACTGCACTACGGCCGCCATCGACGTTGGATTGGGCATGGCGAGCAGTGCGGTATGTTAATGTGCAGTACAAGAGCGAGATACAGTGAAGCAAGCTAAACTGGTCGTTGCCAAGTTCATAATGTTAAAGTGTGAATGTCTAAGAAGAACAGGGATTCGGCATACTTGGGGGGAGACAAGAAAAGGGAACCACTATGGCCAACAGACAGTATACAATCTGACTATATATGTATACCTTTCAAGCATTCTGATATGATAAGAAATAACAATAAGATCACCACTGCTGTCGGTTCGCTGTCATGTCCTTCAGTGTCTCCGCCCAACTAGTTGCAGGGTCTTTTTGGCCCCAACCTAGAAGGCCGGAGATACCTAGTCTACCTAACCGTTCCGTGCATTTGTACACGTCTCATTTCCACATCAATTGTTGATCTCCATATGATGTCCAACCTAGAACTCCGAACGCAAAACAGGCGTATTGCAGCAGACAATAGTTGGGTATGCGCAATGCATATCCTAACTAGCGTAGCCAACCAATCTGATTTCGGTTTCATAACAAATTTTCCAAGTCAGGAGCAGGCATTTTCCGTTGTCCGTCCGGTTAGCTGGCATCGCATGTGAACCACCAAGTAGCCTTTCTGATTCGTTCAGGGATTCCACTTGAGCACTGAATTCTCCAGCGAATACCACGATGCCCGCTGACTGAGCACTTTGGACCAGTTGGGAGAGGTCCTTGAAGGAATCATCCTTCATTTCTGGTGAAATGCAATCAGTCGGTGCATACACGGATAAGACGAATAAGCAACGACGCTTCGTTCCGTAGCTGTTGATCCACTGAACCATCCAGACGAACAGCACAAAGTCGGCTACTAACCGGGACCCAGTCGAGAAGTGAACACGGTCTTGACACTCAGCGCAATCCCAACACCGCGAGCTTCGGATGCCGAATCGCCTGATACACGGAGTGAAGCGTGAGGATGAGGTTGGATCTGGAGAACGGTAGATGATTGAAGTAGGGTCTTGAACGCGTTTCGCAGACACAGCATACATCAACTAATAGTTTCAAAGGTTCTAGCTAAGGCAGCTTGTTGACCGATCTGGTAGAGTGTGCGGAAATTAAATGCGGCTAAGTGACAAGTGATTTTGGTTTCAAAAATCTGATATTCTGAGTGGTTGACCTCAGAAGTTGAACGCTGAGTGATATCCCATAGGTGGCGGTAACAGGATGCATATGCCAAGGTTTGGGAGTGAGAAGAGGAAGCAGACAGATGAGAAAGCTGGTTTTCCAAATAGGTAGTTAAGACTTTGGGGAACGGCATACGTCGCGTTAGCCCACNACCGACGAATGTTTTTTTGGAGGAACCTTAACCGGAGCCTTTGACTCAAAAGTCTGATCCACAAGGCAGTGGGGCGTAGATCCAATGTTGAAGCACGAACGAAGCACCGGTTTGGGAGCTTCTGGAGACCTGTCACGCAAGGTCTTCGAATTTCGGTTAAGTGTGTTGTTCGCTGGTGCGTTGGTTGGTGGTCCGCATTTTGGGTTTGGCCCTTAGTTTCATGCACCCAATGAGACAAGCGGAACGTAGACGGGATAGCACTTTACTGCCTGGCGGCCGCTCAGCTTGGGCGGGAGGTAGCTGTCCAGTGAAATGCAAAGATTTCTCCCGCTGTCGAGAGGAAACCCCAGGTAC